GCCCTCTCGATCTAGGTAAGTAATGGAGCGTACAATGAACTCCATATCTTGGACAATAACAAGCTATCACGAATCAGTAAAAAAATAAAAATATTTTTTTATGTACCAACATTGGAAACGATTTTTTCTTCTGCAAGAAATAGTTCATAAATGACATACGGGTCAAATGATGACGTATTAGCTTTTCACTGCCAATTGCGGGGAGGTAAATGTAAACGGAACAACCGACCAGTTTTCTCGCTCAGATGTCAAATACCGAAACGTCACAAGAAAGTTATATCGCAAAATTATAGTTACAAGAAAGTTATATCGCAGTTTGATTTTCCTATAAATTTATTATGCTGTTAAACGCAAAAGAAGCGTATTCAACTCGTTTATAATGTTGCTTCATTGTGTTGATAGAAATTTGAAAACTAGCTCCTAACGCTCGCTCGGACGAGTGCTGAGCACGGGCGGTAAGGACGGGCAGTGAACATAGACGGTGAGAACGAAAGCTGAGAACAGGTGGTGAGGACGAGAGATACGAACGGCGACCACGTGAGCCATAAAATGCCCTTTTAACAAACGATTTCTTTCAACAGTCGCTTATAATGATCAAATACAAAAAATATCAACCAGTTATGAACTATGAGATAGGTAATTGAACGATTAATAATACACAATTTTAAAATAAGAGAAATGAACATAACATACAGAAAGAAAGAAATCGGGGGAGGGAGCGATAAATCATTTAATATTAATACTGTAATTAACCGCATTTTAATAATAGTGTCATTTAAGCTTAAGTTGTATTTAATAATATTGTAGGCCAATACCATGCCTCTAATTCTCTTGTTTGGAATGCGGTCCCGACAAATCACCAAAAAACAAAAAATAAAACAACAACAACAAATAACACGTTTCAACTTTCATTCAATATAATTTGTAATTATAGACTTTTTAAATTTCAAACATACCGCACGATATTTCCTTCATATTCATTGCTTCCTTGTCGTTTACTCTCCCTTGCACACTCTTACATTTACGTGCATACCTATCCCACTGCCGGGACACCGGCCACTTTTCTCAGTTCTAGCAGTACGCCACCGTGGGTGATACCTGGGGAGGGAATTCGCCCAAAAAATGCAACAGTAGACGTTCACAGAGTCAATAGAAACATGATTGTCCGGCAGACGCTGTGACTTGACCTAATTGTCAATGTTTCGGTCATTATACTGTGATCTTTTTCGTCTTAATATTAGGCCCTGAAGAAGGTCGTTGTGTGACGGTCAAAATGTTGCCTAGGCTGCGGCGTCTCCCAAACAGTCACAAACCAGGTTTTGTTAATCCCGCACAAGCTGACGTGAAGGTCGGAGCCGAAGTACTTCCCCCTTCCGTAAAAGTGTGCACTACTTACTAACACCTGCACCTTCCGTGGAGTACGTGCTCGTATTTAGGGGGAATCGGCAACGTCAGCTCACGTCCTTTCACGTCACTAAAGGAGAAACTAATAAGCACTCCATTTAAAGTACACTCAAAATAAAAATATCCGTTTTAAACTCACAGGTTCACAAGTTCGTTCAGATTGATCGGGGAATATCAATTTTGGAAAAATCGTCTGAGCGGCAATAAGGGTTTTTCTGTCAAAAAATAGACAATTTTCGGCATACGTTCTCTTCTTACAAGGGAAGGGATTTATTTACACCAATTTCTTTAATATCACCACATATTTTATTTTTCACGCAAGGAAATACGAATTAAAAATACATCGTGGAAACATCATTCCATTCAGAAAGTTGACTGACGTTCTGGATATGGGTCACGGAGAAGTGAATGTACTGAATCCCGGACGCCTCCGCTCCGGAATAAACAAACCACTCAACGTTGGAAAATGCAACGCCAAGTAACAGCGATAAGACAACATTGTGTTTGTTGTCGAGAATAATGGCGAAAGTAAATTGCTTTCGGTTTCAGACGTCAGGGCGTGATGCACGTTATCCAACACTCAGGAAGAAAACGGAGAGCGAAAGAAAGAAAGAATGAAGCTCTGGTCTGCTAACCACGCGTGGCTGTTTTAGCGTTTCACGATGCGACGCCGTGTCTCGGTCCACAACCCCGCCAAGCCCTGCCCGTCCCGCCTCGCCTCTTTCCACCTTTCCGCAAAGTCTCCAATGCATTTTACGTCAAAATACAGTTAAGACAGAAAGATGTCGGCGAAGTAGTTACACATTACTACTTTTGAATCACCACAACTATGAAGCTTCGTCTAGCGTTCCGTCTAGCGTTCAAAGTTGTTGCTGTTTAAAGAACTGCCGTGGGAAAGATCTTTGTAGGACGTAAGCACTGAGCACATTGTTTTCTTTGGTGTATGATAAAAAATTGAGTTATATTTATCGATCATTGAATTTGTCATCAATGGTGGCTGCACCAGGATCCAAATTGTTACTAGCATTGCGAAACGCGTTTCTGAAGTCTCAATCGCAGATAATTTCTATTCCTGCCGCTGTAGCTGCTGATGTAATGTAATTGCCTACTCATGGAATGACACGAAAGTTTTACTCTTCAGAATATTATAGTAAACCATTTCTAAAAGATGTAAGAATGTTAAATCCTTCCTTAAAATATTTATTATTATTATTATTATTATTATTATTATTATTATTATCATTATTATTATTTTATAGACTTTGTTGTATAATTGTCTATTTACGCAGAACTAAATTGTATGCAGAAGCAAAAATCGCAACAAAAGTATTTTTGCATCTAACTATATATCCAATTACATGTCACCAAATGTAATCTAGTTGTAATTTACTTTGCGCCTAACTTATGTATACCTCAATGTGTCTGGGGTCCAATGCTTAAGCAGTATACACTCAAATTTCTAACCAGCAGGATTGCGATTTTCAAGGCACTTAAACGTTATTGGTTAAAAATGCACGTCGACGTCGCGAATATGCAAAATATTCAGCAAATCATTCACAAATAATAATTGTAGTAACACAAATATATCGATTTAACGCAACGAAACACAAGCACTGTCAATGAACCATGAGCGTTAAGGGTTTAATAGGCTGCCGTACGTTAAGAACAATCGCAACAAACGAATGTTGCGAAAAGTCGTATGAGTTCACGTGTACCAAGGAATGAAAATTCTATTTAAAGGATTAAAAAAATGGTTTTACGAAAAGTATTGATTGATACACGGCTAATAACTGAAATGACAGTCTTGGTTGGATATAAATCTCACTCATTGCCTCAATTTAAGAGCTTCAACAGCGACTGTTATTTCCTGTTTATCGGCGTAATTCGTAGCTAACTTAGCATAAAAGGCGATAAAGCCCCATGTCTTCGATGATATTATGGGTTCACTCATGATCTCAGAGTCTGCTTAACCTAGTACTGAAAAATTTTCAGAGCAGCTTGGTGAAAATTTTTGAAGTAAATACCAGCTGATTTATATTTTTTGAATCCTTTTTATAATTTATGGCATATTTGAAGCAAATGTCAAGAAGTTTTACATTATTTTTCTATACTTTTATGCAAAAATCCATAAGAAGAAACTTATTATACTAATTTTGCTACTACGTATTTATTATATCCTAATTAACATCCAACAAAAAATTGAAAATTATCATTTGAGTGGTTTGAGAGATAAAGGAACAAATGGGATCAAAAATGACATTTTTCAGAAATCAGCGTTGAAGTTAATATTTCTATCTCGTCGTGATAATTTGTAAACAAAATAATTTATCCGCGTAAATAGTCATGGAAGGTAAAGCTTTGTACTGCAAGCAATTTTAATGTATGAACTTTTCTCTAGCATTTTGTAAAAATTTGTTTCTTTTAGATGGATTCGTTCAAAAAATATGAAATAAACGAGTCTCCAAATCAAAACTGCTGCTATTTTGACAAAAGTAGATAAAGGAAGAAAATAACCAACAAAAAAAATGCTGAAACACAGCATTTCGCAATGATTTATCTATAATTTTATTAAAAAACTCTAAATATTTAGAAAATGTTAAAACCTAAAAAATGTCCAAAATCCAGATTTTCCCTTTGTCTCCCCTTATTCCGCCTTTATCCATCTTCCAAGTTTTGGGATGAGGGAGAAGAAGTGTTGAGAAATTCATTTGGATGTAATAAGAGTTTCGCGTCGGAATAGTGCGTCGGCCCTGTGGATGAGACGAGTGGCGCGAGGGAAGCAAGGATCCCATCGGTCTGTTCTGTCTCAGGCCTGAGTACCACGCGGTGCCCGCGTTCCTGGAGCACCTCAGGCGGCTGAGGACGAACATCGGGCGGCGGTCAGAGGACGAGGACAGCGCCGAGGACGAGGACGAGGACGAAGAGACTGCCGCCATGTTGCGCACGTTCCAGCAGACGGTAAGCACAGACCCCGAGAGGGCAGAGCGCGACGATATCGAATGGGCGGACAGAACCACCAAGGCAGCAATTGTTCCAAGTGGCAATATATGATCTCTTTATTTCTTATAATCGTATTGTTATCAAAGCGTCGGAAATATTGAACTTTTAGCGTCGGAAGTGTTGGGATGAGGGAGGGGGGAGTGTTGAGAGTTTCGTTTTAGATGTGATGAGAGTTTCGCGTTGTAGATGTTGAGAGTTTCGCGTTTGATGTGTTGGGGTGTAGGAGGTGTGAGCTTTGGATGCACTGGGGGGGGGTCACGTTGGAATATTTTGGCTGTGGGAAGTGGAAGTGTTGAAAATTTCGCGTTGAAAGTGTTGATATATGGAGGGTGAAAGGGTTGGGAGTTTCGCGTTGGAAGAGTTGAGATATAGTAGGTAAAATATTGAGATGGAGGGGTGGAAGTGTTGAGAGTTTCGTATTGGATATATGGATATAATTTTGCGTTGATAGTGTTGACATATGGGAGGTGGAAGTGTTGGGAAGAGGCAGGAAGAGTTAAGACATACTAGGTAAAATGTTGAGCTGTGGGGAGTAGAAGTGTTGAGAGTTTGGTGTTGTATATATTTATATAATTTCGCGTTGAAAGTGTTGCCATATGGGTGGTGTAAGAGTTGAATTTTCGCACTGCAAGTGTCTGGATGTGGGGGGCCAAGTGCTGAGTGCTGAGCCCTGGCTTCTGCGCGCGCAGGTGGTGATGCCGCGCGCAGACGACACCGAGGAGGCGCGCGCAGACTTCGCGGCGGTGCAGGCGGCGCTGCTGCTGCGCGCGACGGCCGCGCAGCTGCGCGCAGAGCTCTGCCCCGACTTCCCGCCGCCCGCTTGCCCGCACAACCTCTCCACGTGAGTGCACCAGCTCCGGGGCTTTCTGGTTGAGTGAAGAAAGCACCGCAAACAATATCACTTTCTCCTGTTTACTATATTGCGCTTAACTAGTTCTCAATACACTCTAGTGTCGTTTTACCAACTGAGGTATCTTAGGGCATCAATTGTCATTGGGATCTCTCTGCAGTGCCTCTGATTGAGAGTTTGGGTACAGACAGATGTCGGATTTTCATTGGAACGAGTTCAGCCGCTGACTGGAGGAAAATTCTGCTCTGAAACTGATCTCTGATCGGTAGTTTTCCGTGTTGTTTCGTATCAACACCAGGCGAATTTCAGAGCAGAATATTAGCAGCAGTACTCTAAATGAGCCCCTCACTTCGCGTGATCATTTCTACCTCTTGATCGTCCTACACTCTCCCCTTACACAAACACACACACACACACGTACGTGCACAACACTACCACACGTGTCTGGAGGCTAGTCGAGAGCTTAGAGCTCGACCCGGTAGGGGCGACACACCACTAGTGGGAGACACGTGGATGGGGAAAGTCCTGCACTCCGACGTGTGAAACGGCGCCTGATTTCACCATTCAGCGAGAGGAGAATACCGAAACCTTTCTTGATAAAAACATGCACTACACGTAAGGGAATAATGACCACAGCAGTCGTCGCGCACGAAAACACGAAAAAAATTAATCTGGTGGTGGTTTTTGTATCAAAACTGGCCCGGCGAGTTTTGGGAGAATGAAGCAAAACGCAAACAACCAGTCAAGTTATTCACACTTCATTTAACTTAAACATCTAACAAATTTAATATTCCGTAAATTAAAACATGGATAAACATTGTACCTTGTAAATCGTAATACAAACTCCACTTTAGAAGCAATAAAAAGATTTAATTAAAAATATCCTTACAGGGTGTTTCCTCCATCAGGTATCTCCCACCAGCGGTGCACCGCCCCTCAGTCAGACCTCAGTTTGTAGAATAATTACAGAAATATCTGAAGTGGTATCAAGAAATATTTAAAAGTTCATAAAATTCCCTTCATGTGTAGTACAAAAACCGTACGTCAATAATTATGCTTACTAATCACGCAAATTCAAAAAATTCTACCAATAGCAATTATTCGCACAGGACTTAACACAACGAAGTAACGAAACGTAATTTATAACTTTTTTCTGTTGATAGTACGTCGATGAAACCAGATACTATTCATAGTCTTAAAAGAACCGCCAAAATTGTAAACAAGATTGACAGGGCATTCTAGATTCGCATGTAGCAACCAATAAAGCAATGCTGCCAAATATTATATTTGGCGAAATATTGCCTGAGTGCAACTCTCTCGAATAAGTGGGATCTATGAATACGAAACTGTCGCATGGGTTCACTTATTTTAAGTAAATGCTTATTACTTAAGCCTTTACTTACCGTATGAGTGTCGACAATGAATACGGCCCTAAGTGTGCGTACGAAGGGGTGAGGACAAGACAAGAAAGAGGATGGAAAGATTGTGCGCCCGTGTGTGAGGACACTGCTCTGACATGAGTCTGGTGTTGATCGAATAAAACACGGAAAACTACCGATCAGAGCTCCTGGCCGCTAGCATTCTCCTCCAGACATCGACTGAACACGACTTAGCTATCTCATACTTGTCTGTATGGGGTAAACAGCGTCTCAGTCGATTGAGTTTCGGCCATCATGTTGTGGCCTTCTTCAGGCTATCTCCTAGCTATCTGGCTAGTGTCCAAAATCCTACCACCGTCGGTGCTCAAACCTCCTAGGACCTCTCATTCAGATTCACCGCAGAGACATCAGTTCATGCCCCGAGTTACCTCTTCAGGTTTGTAGCATGGGGAGATGAATTCTGCTTACATCTGGGGTCTTTTGTATGAAATACGAGACCCCATGGATTTATACCTCCCTGAGTTTCTTGTTTATTCTGGGCGCCCCTAGATCGATAAAATTGTTTACCTCTATTGTTTTACTGAAACTATTAGAGGAAACACTGTATCTTCTGCGATGCATGCACGATGGGTGGAGCGCTACCATATAATTAAAAAGCATGTATAATTACTTTTTTCCGCCCCTAAGAGGCGTACATCTTGATGGAAACATAATTTTTTATGATTATTGACATGCCAAGGTGTTACCAGTTACGTTTATTGACATAGAGACAAAATGAAAATAGTTTCTTGTTCACAACAAACAAAATAATAGTTTTTCCTCATTTTCCTTCATTTGTAACTCGATTGTGTTATGAAGAATAACACAGGAGGAGTATACATTCTACGAAATTCTCTTTAAGCATTTCTTGGAAGAGCAGTCGATATTTGCTGCCCCGCTGTGGCAGCGAAATGGTGCAAGACAGTGCTGCCTCCAAGCGGAGATCGCTGACGACATGTAATCTGATTCGCCAATAAGCTTTCGTATGAACACACAGAGAGAAGTCATGTGGTTCACAATGGCATATTGAAGAAACGTTTTCAGGGATCATAATAAAGAGAAGGGATACGAAATGTTGCCACAGTCAATGATGTATTGATACGGAAAGTTTAAAAGACGGTCGTCAATAAATGACGTAACTCTAAAGAGGCGGGAGGAGGTTGAGGTAGTGTTACATTGCATTACATAGTAGTACGTATGACGTAGTTTAGTGTTATGTAATCCTGATATTTTAAATTTTTCAACGTTTATTGAAACAATTTCTTATATTCAGACTATCAACTAGTAACTAAAACATTAACATTTTACGAACATTTTTTTAAATATATAAGTTGATTAAAATCTCTGATGAATAAATTATTACAATATATGGAAATCTTTTTTTCATCACGTCGTTGAATCTATTAGATTACGAAGAAAATATTCAAAACTGATCTGTATTCCAGATTCCAATGAAATTGGCACAGTATTCCACGCAATGAAATTCGCCCATGTCATCCACGCGGTGTGTAGACGGCCTGTCAGGAATTTTCTCGTGCGTTTATCCTTAATTCAAAAATTGACCCCAATCGTAATGTTAGGTTCACTCCGCAAGGCCAACTAATTCTCACTTTAATTTTAATACATTTTAATAAATAACACAAACAAAATTAATGCAATTCTTTGCGGCAACTTTATAATTTATTTTTAGCTATTGTATACGGAGGGGGTCTTGTCGCAAGTGGTACTTAACGTTTAGGGGGTTCCAGCGCGCGTGGAAGATACTCTAAATTTGCATTAATTAATTTATTAGGTCCCATTGTAGAAACATGTATTCGTTCGATTAAGAATATTAGGTTTAATGAGGGAAGGTTAATAAAATTGGATATTCTGGTAGAGCAAATTTCTAAAAGTAAAGGAAACCCTATTAAACATTTATAAAATCCTTAAAATATTGTTCAAATATTTAAAAGTATTATAAAAAAATGTTCAATATGTATTTGAATACATTCGTAAATAATTTGAATGTTGTTTCAAATTAAACTCATAATTGGCGCTTTTTTATTTCCATCACTAGCGCACTCTGATAAGTAAATGCAACACTCTGTGAAGTAGTTCAAGTACTATGGACGACCACCTGAGTTCGCTGTATGCAATGTTTGAGAACAACTTGAATAAGGCGTCATTTTAAATGGAAGTTTTTGTTCCGACAGAAATACAATACTTGTTGACCAATGTCTTCTTTTTCGTTCCTCATTTTTCCATGTGAAATCGACTAAAATCTAGCAAAACAGATGTTTGCAAAGTAATATTACTGTGATGAGAATTTCTGTTGAAATGTCCTACGATATTATTTAATTTTTTTATAAATAACCAATATTGTACATTAAAATTATATTTATACGAAAACCCATTATTCTGGCTTCTGGACTCAGAAATTCTCACAGTGCTATTAGTTATCTAGTTTCTCCATTTCTCATTGTAACTACAACATTCCCCTTTTCCTGCCCTCAAAAATACGCCGAGGATTTTTAGATTCCACAAGTTAAAAATAAAGTATTTTTCTTTTGTTTAAAAATTTTTAGAGGTGTAAAATAATTTATTTAGAAAACACTGATTCCTCATGCAAAAAGAAAATTGATCCACTTTACATTTCATTACTACTGGTAATCACGTCTCCATTGTACTAAATAATTGAGTTTCAAGTGAATTTCTTACACACACACATCAATGAAGTAATAAATTTCTACCAAATGTTAATACTTGCGGTGAATGTGAATTTTTATTTAGGTAGGTGTGGAGTCTTTCCAGAACGATTTCAATGATAATCATTTACAAATCAATCTAAAAATAAATATATTATTGTGCGAATTAAATATAATCACTTGTGACAATTCATCAGCTGAACAAGGTTATCCACTACGATTTTAATTTTTGATATTGAAGCTCCCGATTAGATAAACGCGTCGCAACTAACAATCTGTCACAAGCCATTACATTTATAAATCGGACAATTCCATACATTTTTACACCTGTAGAACAGAACAGCTCTACTTGCCGAACAGGAGACAAGTTAATTCACAATGTTCAATTAGTACATCAACCAGACAAAAGGTACTGTAAAAGACAGCTACAGCCACCAAAGCGATATTTGCCATCATTTACATTAGACGACCATCACTAGCCACAGCCATGGCACTATTTACCGCTACAATATCGCCAATAATTACATACGGAATTGATATGATATAGGAGAAACTAACCATCAGTGGTCTTAAGAACATAGAAAAGGTAAAAGTTCGCTTTATTAAAACAGAGCTGGGAGAAGGAAAAACAACACCTTCAAGACTGAAATATGAGTTGGCGAAAGTAACTTTTTACATAGACGCTACAGCTGCCATCTGCTGCACCACCACATAGAAGAAAGGTGACAGAAAAGAATGCAAATGGAATCAGATTTCTACAACACCAGTGCTATGCTACACTGAAATTGGAAAAAGACTAATCGGGACCAAATACGTATTGTGACACACTACCCAGAACATTAATTCCACAATAAAGTGTGCAAAAAAAAGTGTATACATCTGTGAGCCG